TATAATTAGAATAATTATCGAGTTCCAACAAAATAAATAATTATTATCTTTATAAAAAAATTATATTATTAAACCAAATATAAATTACTTCGTTATTGTACAYAAATTAAATTATAAAAAATTGAATTAAAAAATTACACAAAAAAATGAGGAATTTCAAATAGTTAATTTGATACTAATATCGATATAATTTTGTCAAATTTTTATAATATTTTCAAATATATATTTTATTCAAAAATAAAAACATAATCGTTTTCTCAAAATCATATAAAGTCATATTATAACATCGACTGAGATAAAAAATAAAATGAAATATTGAAATCACGATGTATATCGCTGTATTGTGCGACTACGCTTCTAGTAATAATAATAATAATAACAAGCATAAGGTAGTGGACTATGGTTGAAAGTCCCCATTTGATAGTGGGTTGTGTTTGTGATTAAAGCCATTGTGAATTATGAGGGCATGGAGTGGTGGTCTCATTTCTCCCATGGCACATTATCTTTTTCTCTCACGCAAACATATATATATATATATATATATATATATGGTTGGGTTCACGTAAGACAAGACTGTTTTCGTGAAACATATGAGACATTATTTTTATACTTGAAACTTCACCAACAAAATGTTGTGAAGGTAAAATAAAATTGAATCTTCACGGCGAAAACATTGTAAAGGTTACATTCACAGTATTTTGTTGTGAAGTTTCAAGCGTGTCTCATGAAAACAGTTTTGTTTCACATGATCCCAAGTCTAAACATATATACTAAAACAAAAACACTCCTTAAATGAGGTGATATGCGATTGAAATTAAATTTTATTAGGTTGCATTGGTGCGATTGAAATTAAATTTTATTAGGTTGCATTGGTTTCAACATCTAAAAATGTTGTATTTGATTTTTTATTATATATATGTTGTGGGTTGGATTCTGATGAGAAAAGAAGTTATGATGATAGGCATAAGAAGATATCTCAACTAATTGAATGTCAACGCTAGTGAGGTGCTTTGAGATACACCAGATCAATTCCCTTTTAAAATGTAATTCATGGGTGGAAATTAGATTAAAAGTGATCAATGGTTTATACATTTTCTTACGCTTCTCAACATAATTTCCCTTCTTATACGACTTTCGCTTATATGATGAGGTATGATTCTATGAAATATAAATGTTTTTTCATCTTAATATTAGTATGATTAATTTATTTAATGTAACTAG